AACGTATACTTTTCGAGATTTTTCAGTGTTCCGATTCTTTTTGGGACACTCTGTGTATATATATATATATATATATATATATTATATATAATATATATACACATACCTATTGATTTATTTAGCAATCTGTCTATCTATCGAACTATCTATCATCTATCGATTAACCTATCTATCTATCTATCTATCGATCTATCTGTCTCTTCTCTCTTTTCTACATTGCATTCTTTTATATATGCACACGTATATAATAATTTTTTAAAAATATTGTACATTACAAAAGTAAAAATAATTAAATTTATAATCTAAAAATATATAAAATTTTTTTATGAATATAATGATTACAAAGATTTAGTAGATAATTTTTTGTAATAAATAAATTATTTATATGATTTAGTCTTATCTAACTACTGCTCTGTTTTGATAATAATAGCATTATTATGTATTCAATCTCTAAAATACTTTTATATAAATCATTTATTACAAAGAATTATTTACTTTATAATCAATTATAATTATTATAGATAGGCCTGTTTATACACATACACACACTTACACACAATATATATATATATATATATATATATATATATATATATGTATGTGTATAAACAGGCCTATCTATAATAATTATAATTGATTATAAAGTAAATAATTCTTTGTAATAAATGATTTATATAAAAGTATTTTAGAGATTGAATACATAATAATACTATTATTATCAAAACAGAGCAGTAGTTAGATAAGAATAAATTATATAAATCATTTATTTATTACAAAAAATTATCTACTAAAACTTTGTAATTATTATATTCATAAAAGATTTTTATATATTTTTAGATTATAAATTTAATTATTTTTACTTTTGTAATATACAATATTTTAAAAAAATTATTATATACGTGTGCATATATAAAAGAATGCAATGTAGAAAAGAGAAAAGAGACAGATAGATCGATAGATAATAGATAGATAGGTTGATCGATAGATGATAGATAGTTCGATAGATAGACAGATTGCAAAAATAAATCAATAGATATGTGTATATATTATATATATATATATACTAGCTTTTCGGACCGCGCTTCGCGCGGTCCTCAAAGCCAGCCGCGTTTTGCGCGGTCCTCATATAGTCTATATTAAATCCGTTTTAACACAAAAATTAATTCTTTTTTTGTATTACCGCGAACTACTTCCACATTTGTTGTTCGACTTTCACGAAATTTATACCAAAATAAATGTTTAAATTTTTTTGTGGATGACTACTATGTTATCTATTTCTTTCTCCCAGATATTTTATTTTCTTTTTTTAAGACACGCTTTCTCTCTCTCTCACTCTAAAACACACGCGCTCCCTCTCTCTCTCTTTAAGACACATGCTCTCTCTCTCCTTATCTCTCTCCCTCCCTCTTTCTTTAAGACACACGCTCTTTCTCTCTCTCTCTCTCTCTCTCTCTCTCTCTCTCTCTCTGTGTATGTGTGTGGGGTTTTTTAAGTTTACGCTTTCACCTACGCATCCACCCACACAATCGCATATTTATGAACGGATTTTTTAAAAAATTGGTACCAAAATGTTGCAAATTTTTGGCGACGATGTGGTTTTTTCAAGTGTTACACCTCCACCCACACGCATGCGCATTTATGGACCAATTTTCACGAAATTAGTACCAAAATGTTGCAAATTTTTCTGAGAAAGCTGCTGTGTGGTTTTTTTAAGTTTTATCCCACCCACGCATGCATCCACGCATTCACACATTTATTCACATACTTTTTTGAAATTTGTAGTTAAATTTTGTTGGAGATGGCTACTATGATTTTAACAAATTTTTATCATCCTATTCATCCACCCACGCACCCATGCACCCATTTGCATACGCATTTATTGACTTGGTCACACCAAGAAGTAATTTTTAAAAAATTTGTGTACGTATTTGTGATTATGTGTGCAATTCGTGTAAATAAACCTTTAATTTGTATGCAATTTTCACGAAATTAGTACCAAAATGTTGCAAATTTTTGCAATCACAAACATGTACACAAATTTATTTAAAATTACTTATTGGTGTGACCAAGTCAATAAATGCGTATGCACATGGGTGCATGGGTGCGTGGGTGGATGAATAGGATGATAAAAATTTGTTAAAATCATAGTAGCCATCCTCAACAAAATTTGAGTACAAATTTCGAAAAAGTCTGTGAATAAATGTGTGAATGCGTGGGTGAATGCGTGGGTGGGATAAAACTTTAAAAAACCACACAGCAGCTTTCTCAAAAAAATTTGCAACATTTTTGTACCAATTTCGTAAAAATATTGGTCCATAAATGCGCACGCGCGTGGATGAATGCGTGGGTGGAGGTGTAACAATTGAAAAAACCACATCGTCGCCATCTTCAAAAAATTTGCAACATTTTGGTACCAATTTTAAAAAAATCGGTTTATAAATATACGATTGCGTGGGTGGGTGCGTGGGTGGAGGCGTAAACTTAAAAAAATAAAACACCAGCTTTGTCAGAAAAATTTGCAACATTTTGGTACTAATTTCGTGAAAATTGGTCATAAATGCGCATGCGCGTGGGTGGGTGCGTGGGTGGAGGTGTAACACTTGAAAAAACCGCATCGTCGCCATCTCCAAAAAATTTGCAACATTTTTGTACCAATTTCGTAAAAATATTGGTCCATAAATGCGCACGCGCGTGGATGATTGCGTGGGTGGAGGCGTAAACTTAAAAAAATAAAACACCAGTTTCCTCAGAAAAATTTGCAACATTTTGGTACTAATTTCGTGAAAATTGGTCCATAAATGCGCATGCGTGTGGGTGGATGCGTGGGTGGATGCGTGGGTGGAGGTGTTACACTTAAAAAAACCGCATCGTCGCTATCTCCAAAAATTTTGCAACATTTTGATACCATGTGTTCAGAAATATTGCAAAAAAAAATTTTTTTCGCAAAAACATACCCTCCTCTGAAGAAAAAAAATAAAAATAAAAAAATTAAAAAAAAAACCCACAGCAGCCACCCCCGAAAAATTTGCAACATTTTGGTACCAATTTCGAGACAATCGGTCCACAAATGCGGAAGTAGTTCGGGCACAGACAGACAGACAGACAGACGGACGGTGCTTATATATATAGATTAAATTAATCCCTCTCTCTCTCTCTCTCTCTCTCTCTCTCTCTCTCTCTCTCTCCCTCTCCCTCCTCAATATTATATATAATAATATAATATTATAAATAAATATTATGTAATATAATCATTTTTTGCAGTAAAACAGAAAGCTCGATGGGCAAGAGCCGGAAGAGGTACCAATTTAAAAAAATCGGTTCATAAATATACGATTGCGTGGGTGGGTGCGTGGGTGGAGGGGTAAACTTAAAAAAATAAACCAGTAGTTTTCTCAAAAAAATTTGCAACATTTTGGTACTAATTTCGTGAAAATTGGTCCATAAATGCGCATGCGCGTGGGTGGATGCGTGGGTGGGTGCGTGGGTGGGGGTGTAACACTTAAAAAAACCGCATCGTCGTTATCTCCAAAAAAATTTGCAACATTTTGATACCATGTGTTCAGAAATATTGCAAAAAAAGATTAAACATACCCTCCTCTGTAGAAAAAAAAAAAATTAAAAAATTAAAAAAAAACCCCACAGCAGCCACCCCCAAAAAATTTGCAACATTTTGGTACCAGTTTCACGAATATCGGTCCACAAATGCGGAAGTAGTTCGCGTACATACATACAGACAGACGGTGCTTATATATATAGATATATGTATATATATTGTTATGTCCGTGTCCCGCCCGGTTTGACGATACATCCCTGTATTATACGATCGTCAGGATTTTCTATTAGGATCTTCTATCAGGGTCTTCTATCAGGGTCTTCTATCAGGATCTTCTATCGTCGCTAAGAAGCTGTTTATGTCTATCGATGCGTTTTGTTCTGGTCTAGCTGTCGTGCGGTGAGGACGTATCCTCTGACAGCTGATCGGCGGATATATTTGCATTAGGATTAATGCACGTAATATTATATTGTATCGCTACGGTTTATTGGCTTCTAATATTAAAGTTTATTGCTTTACTACGCGAGTGTATTCATTTCCGGCGTGTGAGAGTTTGAGTGCGCGCGACATTTCTTCGAGATAATCAGAAGGGTGGTCGCGGACGTAACATTTTGGGGGCTCGTCCGGGATCGTTCGGACATAACACGAGCCACGAACCGTAGTAAAAAAAGGACAAATATTTCGTGTGTGTGTGCGGTGAAAAGGTTACGATGTCTTTGGTGCATTCTCCGAGGATTACTCGTTCGCAAGCTTCGTCACGAGCAATGATCGGCGAAGAACAACAGTCGACTCCACTTCGAGCGATTAACAGCGAGGAAACTCCCGAGCGCGTGGACGCTTTACAGGAGGCGTTGGAACAAATTAGAGAATTGCGAGAGGAACGCTCACAACAGCAGGCTCAATTTTTGACGATGCTGCAACAGCGGGACGAGGAACTGCACCGATTACAGGAAAGACTCGCCTCATCGGAAAATAACCAGCTAAGTCACATACATAATAGAATTCCGAACAACACCACACGTAGAAATAGCGAATCGAACAATGTTTTACACAATAATTTTGAGCTCGGATATAAGCTCACAATGTGCTAGAATAAGTAAAACTAGAAATAATTTTTATTATAAGGGAAATTTGGACGGAAGAATTTGTCGATTTAAAATAGTTCCGATGTTTCTATTCTTAGTGAGAGATTTCTGAAAGGAAAATTGTGCATTCGGATAGATTAGCTCCTTTTTATAGTCGAAACTTGCATTAGAATCGGAACCCACGATAGGTTACTTGTACTTTTAATAAAATTGTGTATTCTTCAATTTTTCTGCCGTAAGATTTGTTTTTCAGGAAAATCTTATTTGGCAACAAAAAGAAAAAGGACCTGATGAAGATGAGAGAGATAAAAGGGATGAAGACTACCTCACAAAAAAGGGACGAAGACTGCCTCACCCCGTGGTTATTTTGATCCGTGGTTTTTTCCCGGGGGCTTTGGGCAAATGCCGAGGCAGAGGCTTGAGAAGTCCTTTAAAAGGGCGTTGGGTCCACGGAATGTTACCCCTCTCTTGCCTGAAGAATTTTTGGGACTTTGAGGAAAATTCCTGGAATCAATGAAGTCGATTGGACCCAAGATGGTGTGCAGTTCGTTGTACCTGGAACAGCAGTTCGGGGAGAACATGGAGTCACATCGGGGACTGTAATTCGGCGAGGTTCCTGTAAGGAATTGTTCTGGATCTGTCCTATTGAATTAATTGTCGGGACGACAATTTTGAAGAGGAGGGGGCAAGTGTTATGTCCGTGTCCCGCCCGGTTTGACGATACATCCCTGTATTATACGATCGTCAGGATTTTCTATTAGGATCTTCTATCAGGGTCTTCTATCAGGGTCTTCTATCAGGATCTTCTATCGTCGCTAAGAAGCTGTTTATGTCTATCGATGCGTTTTGTTCTGGTCTAGCTGTCGTGCGGTGAGGACGTATCCTCTGACAGCTGATCGGCGGATATATTTGCATTAGGATTAATGCACGTAATATTATATTGTATCGCTACGGTTTATTGGCTTCTAATATTAAAGTTTATTGCTTTACTACGCGAGTGTATTCATTTCCGGCGTGTGAGAGTTTGAGTGCGCGCGACATTTCTTCGAGATAATCAGAAGGGTGGTCGCGGACGTAACAATATTTACAAAATAATTAACAATAAATTATTAAATTACTACACTTATTATATAAATTATTTTAATTATACTACATATATGTATATATGTATATACATATAATATACTAATTATATACTATTAAAATTATATATATAAATGATTAAACTATTAAAATATTAAACTATAAAATTATTAAACTTTACACTATTTATAATTTTTGCTTTTTGTTACTTAATTTATATATTTTCTTATTATATTATAATTATTTATCTCAATATATCTTTTTTAATATTCCGTAATTTTATATGTTCGAGTTTGAACTAAACATGCAATAACTTTTTGGAAATTTATAATTGATTTGTTTACAAACAACATTTGTTAATTTATCAAATATATTAAATTCTTGATTTAAAAAATTACCATGTAAAATGTGAAGTATAAATAAGAAGATAAAGTGATAACATTTCCTTTGCTTGCAGAAGAAAGAAGAGTATTTGTACTGTGAATTTCGAGCAGATTTTCTTCTAACATATTTGTACTTATATACGCACTTCTCTGCTAATTACAAATCTATTATCAAATTAGAAAGAATTATTATCAGAAAATGAAAATACGAGCGTTAATAAAATATAAGTTTAGTAAACTGCGTCACTTGTCTGTAAGTAAAAAATGTTCCTTTGTTCTAGAATTTCTCATTTTTTATCCAAATGTGTCGAATAATAATAAAATTAAATTATACATTTTTTTATTTGTTATTACTTTATTAAGTGAGTTATTACTTAAGTATAATAGCAAATAAAAAATTTAATATAAATACATATATTTCTATAATATAATTTATATATATAAATTATATTTTGCAAATATAGTAATGATTATAAAGCAATGAGATTATAAAGTAAATGAGAATAACTCATCCTACATTTTCGTGTACACATGCAAATGTAGAATGAACTACTCTCGTTTACTAGGCTTCCAAATTGATATCTAAACATTCACTTATATTCTTTTATCCAATGTGAAATCCGGTCTGGTCTAATTTTAGGTAAAAAGCAATCCGTATATATATTTTCACAATTATATTTTCATAGTAAAACGCTTGTAACATATGCTACACCGCCAGACAAGACTGCGCGCGAAAGCGCTCGCGGAAAACCGTCCGTAAAGTCGTGCACTCATTCGTGCCTTCGCCGCTACGCGGCGTCTTTTCTCGCAGTTAGAATTCCGCTGAGTGAGGATATAAGGCCACGCGCTGCACTGCCTAAAACATATTTGTGAATATATACGTATACATGTATACGACCAATGAGTGTCATTAAATTATTATCGGACACTCAATAGCAGTATTTTATTATAAAATTACTTGGAGACATTTTGGGTCAACAAATATGTCGGAAAACAACTGTGATTTTTTCGAAAGTAAAGATTTTAGCTAACTCTTTTTAAATTTAAATTCTTATTTTTCAAAATAAAGGACGGTATTTCATAGTCCGTTCTTATATTTAAGACTGTCTTAAGTACAAAGTCTTTTAAGATGCTTTTCTCTTCTTAAGTTTAGTCGGATTCATAATCAAATCTTGATGGTCTTATTTGAATCAAATAAGATCGTGTTTATTAGAAAGTAAGGTTATGTTTTCAAGTCAGTTGTACATGACTTTAAGATAAGCTTTAAGGCGGGAGCACAGACTTTTGCATAAGGCATAAAGCAGGGAGCATAACGTAACGTTCGTCAACGCACAAACTTGTGCATAAGACTTTATAATATTCTAACTGTTCACGAACGCGCTGCTTGAGCAAAGGATCGCGCTGCACGAAAGGATGAGTCACTTTTTTGTATTAAATTGACTTTAATATTTTAAAACAATTAGAAAACGAACACTTTAACAAACTTTTACAATCTTAATTAATTTACAGAGAAAATCGAACTCAAATCAATGTGCGGAATAGCGGCGGTCGTCAACAAATTTTGCGGTGTATCTGATAAGCGGTTTGCGATATGTTTTCACGGCGGAAAAGCGATAAAGCTGTGATTTCGGGTGCGAGCTCTCTTTTATGGGTTTCCGCAAAAGACCCACCTTTTCGGGAAGCGCCAATAATTTTGCGTCTTTTTAAAGTTGCGCGAGGTGACCTGAGTGTATTACGCGTAATTGGCCGCTGTCAAAATTGACAAAACCACGGCTGTTAGAAAGCATGCGCGAGCTGGCGATCACGATGATTATTGGCGAAACGAGGCGCCCGTGAGAAGCCGCGCATGCTCAATAAAATATAATTATTCGGCAGAACGGTTGCGACACCGTTAATTGTTTATATTTCGAGCGTGTTTTTGTACGACAGGATAATTTATGTCGCGATATGTTTTCAAAAAAAAAACATATAAAAACGATATGCCTGTTGACTTGCGATCGGAAGCGAATATTCTAGAATATTCTATTTAAGATATAATATTTTATTACATGTAGTTTCTATTATGCGTTTCAAACATTCCCGCCCGCCTTGTCGCGCAGTGACAACATGTTTATGGTATTTCGGTCGCGGAATCGCAAGTCGATAGCGATCGATGGTGGGGCGAGCGCGCCGGCGCGGCGAAATACACGTGGTGATCGCGTGGTGTGAATCGATCAGCTGAGCACGTGGTAAACGCGTGGTGTGAAATAATCAGCTGATCCGGTGACAACGCGTGGTTGATGTGAACGGCGAGTGTGTAATGCAGTGAGCGGTGATAACGAAATAATTTTTTTTCTTTTTGTGCGGTGGTGGATGAGATGAGTGACGTGCGACAGATGCTATGATGCATGAAGTGATGATTGTGTGACGTTACGAAGTGTCAGTGTGCGGTGTAGGTGCGTCGTTCACGCCCGGGAGGAAAACAAGCTTGACGAGTGGGCGCACAAGCTCGGACGTGGCCGTTCGGATTGACACCACGCGTACAATCCCATCGTCCCCGGGGTGAAGTCGCGATATGCGAGCCAGTGGCCATCGGCTCGGTGGGGTGAGCTCGGAGCGCACGAGACAGAGGTCACCGACGTGGGGTGCAGCTTCTCCCTTGAGCCATTTGGTGCGTGAGGCTAGTCCGTGCAAATATTCGGATGACCATCGCTGCCAGAAGTGATCCCTCATCTGCTGCAAATGACGCCAGCGTGACAAGGTGGGTACCGTCTGCCCTGTCAATGACGGTTCCGGCACAGCAAGTAGCGGCGCCCCGACGAGGAAGTGACCGGGGGTCAACGCAGAGACGTCCTCTGGGTCATCTGAGAGTGCCTGCAATGGACGAGAATTAAGACAAGCTTCGATCTGGGCGAGGAGTGTGCTCAGCTCCTCGAACGTGAGGGTGGTCTCGCCGATCACCCGACGGAGGTGGAACTTGGTCGACTTCACTGCAGCCTCCCAAAGACCACCAAAGTGCGGGGCCGCTGGCGGGTTGAAGTGCCAGCGGATTCCTTGAGCGGTGGCGGCAAGGACGATACGATGACCTTCGGCTGTCGCTGCATCAAAGAGACCTCGCAGCGTACGATCTGCCCCGATGAATGTCGTGCCGCAGTCGCTGTAGATCTCAGCACAGAGGCCCCTGCGGGAGACGAAGCGGTGCAGAGCGGCGATGAAAGCCTCGGAGGTGTAGTCGGAGACGACCTCCAAGTGAGTGGCCTTCGACCAGAAACAGATGAAGACTGCGATGTACCCTTTATGCGCACGGTGTCCACGTCCCTTGCTGGTCCGAAGGAGGATGGGTCCTGCGTAATCCACGCCGGTGCTGAGGAACGGTCGGGTTGGCGTTACTCGGTCCCGAGGAAGGTTACCCATCTGAGGCTGTGGCGTGGCAGCACGCCATCGAGTGCAGGTAACGCATCGATGTAGCTGCTGCTTGACGGCGGTTCTTCCTCGAGGCACCCAGAAGCGCAGGCGGAGCAGGCCGAGTGTCAGCTGCACACCCCCGTGCAGTGTTCGTCGATGGCAGGAATCGATCACCAGCCGAGTCAGCCAGGATGCCGCCGGGATGATCATCGGATGTTTCTCGTCGAGCGGAAGTTGAGAGTTTTTGAGACGTCCTCCGACGCGCAGTACGCCTTGATCGTCGAGGAACGGACTCAACTTTACCAGGTGGCTTCGCGGTGGAGTAGTGCGTCCAGCAGAGGCCGCGGCTACGTCCGTCGGAAAATGGAGCGCCTGCACCACTCGCAGCCATCGAAACAGCGCGGAGTCCAGCTCGTCAGGCTGCAATGGACAGCCAGGTCTGGCGTCACGTCTCACCGGGTTGAGCCATCGACGACACCACGCAGTGACTCGCAGCAGCCGTTGCAGCGTCGGGAACCGCAGAAGAAGGTCCGGTTCGGTAATGACTGGCGCCTTGACTACCAGGCTGGTGACTCGTTGCTCAGGGAGGTCATCCTCTGGGACGTCGATGTCTGCACCAGGCCAGGCAGCCTCGTCTCCTGACAGCCAGGTAGGTCCTGTCCACCACAGTTTATGATTGCGTAAGTCCTCAGGTGTAACACCACGCGATGCACAATCTGCAGGGTTTTCTCGTCCGGCGACGTGTCTCCAATGAGCGTCTGGAAGCAGGGTCTGGATCTGCGACACTCGGTTGGCAACAAAGGTCTTCCAGCGGGTGCAGTGTCCGCGAATCCAGTGAAGAGTGACCTTGGAGTCGGACCACAGGTGCACCGGCGTAGCAGCCAAGCCGAGGGTAGTGCGTACATGCAACATGAGCGTGGTGAGTAATGCGGCGGCACAAAGCTCCAATCGAGGTAACGACACCTGCTTGACTGGTGCGACCTTCGATTTTGCCATCAGCAGATTAATTGATGTCTTCTCTGTTGCAGCGTTGCGGATGTATACGACGGCGGCGTATCCTCGCTCCGATGCATCGGCAAACCCATGGAGCTGCAGTTGCGACTGGTCATCTCCGGTGCTGAGCCAACGATCCACACGGATGTGATCCAGCAACGGAAGTTGATTCAGCAGTTGTCTCCAGCGGTGTGCGTCCTGATCAGGCAGCGGAGAGTCCCAATCCAGCCGTTGAAGCCACGTAGACTGGATCAGAATTTTGGCTCGGATGACGACAGGCGCTAGCCAGCCCATCGGATCGAATAGTCGAGCTGTCTCGGCCAAGACTCGTCTCTTCGTGAGGTCGGTGGTTGAACGCGGACGTATGGTGAAGGAGAACCAATCCCCTTGAGGATGCCATCGAAGACCCAGGGTGGCGTGGCTCTCTCCTTCCCACGAGCGCGGTCCGCGTTGAAGCCGATGTTCCGGCGGAATTCCGGTGAGCACCTGCTGGTTGTTGGCAGCCCACTTTCGCAAAGGAAACCCGCCCGCCATGCAGAGACTCTGTAGTTCCTGTTGGAGTTTGATGGCATCCGCCAGGCTGTCGGCACCGGTGACCACGTCGTCGACGTAACAGTCTTGTCGCAGCGCCCTGACTCCGCGTGGATATCGTGCCTCTTCGTCTGCAGCAAGTTGGTGAAGCGTCCTGATGGCGAGGAAGGGTGCGCACGCCAGTCCGTAGGTCACGGTCTTCAACTCGTACTCGCAGATGTTGTCTGAGCTGTTGTGGCGCCACAGGATGGTTTGCAGGCGACAATCCTCCGGATGAACAAGAATTTGTCGGTACATTTTCTCGATGTCCGTGACGAAAACGTACCGATGCCAACGCCAACGGAGTAAGACGTCAGCGAGTGCTGGCAAGAGGTTAGCTCCAGTGAGGAGGTGCGAGTTCAGCGACTCTCCGGACCGTGTGCGTTGGGAGCCGTTGAACACAACCCTGAGCTTCGTGGTCGTGCTCGACTCCTTGAGGACCCCGTGATGCGGTAAGTAGCACCTGGGACCAGAACCTGTCGTAAACGTACTAACCTTCTCCATGTGTTGCAGGTTTTCGTATTCATCCATGAAGTCTCGATAGAGATCACCGAACCGAGCATCACGGGCTCCCTTCCGCTCCATCGCTTCCAGGAGGCGCTCTGCAGGTCGACGAGTCTCGCTGAGTGATGTCGGCGGTGAGGCAAATGGCAGCCTTACCACGTATCTTCCACTGGATGTGCGTGTGACTGTGCGCACATAGAGGTCCTCGCATCTGGCTTCGTCGGCGGTGAGCACGATCCCAGCTGCTGGCTCGCGTTCCTGCTCCCAGAATCGTCGCACCAGGTCAGCAAGGTCGTTGTCGGCGGTGCACTGAAACGTGCGGCGATGTCCGTCGGTGACTGCTGAGTCGTAGCCTCCGGACAGGATCCATCCCAAGCTGGTCTGCTGGGCGATCGGCATGCGTGAGTCGCCCTTGCGAAGGCCTTCCTCAAGAATTAACGAGTAGACCTCTGCACCAAGAAGTAGCTCCGCAGGGTCGTCATCCAGGTACCGCGGGTCGGCCAACCGGAGTCCTTGGATGTGAGGCCAGCTGCAATTCTCGCGTTGAGCGGTGCCTTGTTGTAGTGAGATGCGAGGCAACACAAAGGCGACCACGCGAAGCTCGGTGTTGGTCACGTCGGATGTGATGTCCAGGGTGACCTTGCCACGAGCCGATCCAGAGCGAGTCCCTCCGATGCCAAAGATGGACAGATTCGTTGAAGCTCGAGGAAGACGAAGGCGTTGAGCCAGCGCTTCAGAGATGATGGACACCTCGGAGCACTGGTCGATCAAGACTCGAACCTCGTGTGGTGATCCGTAGCGGTCCGCGACCTTGACGCGGGCAGTTGCAAGAAGGACGGCCTTGTGACTCTCACATTGCTGTGAGGTGGCCAGTGTGGTGGCAAGTGAAGTGGCCTCAGCGGACGGTGATGATGTGGATGCCCCGTGCAGCATGGTGTGGTGTCGTGCGTTGCAAGTGAGGCAATTCTTCTTCGATTGACACCGTGACAAGAAGTGATTGCCCAGGCAGTTGAAGCACAGTCGGTTGGTCTCCACGAATGTTTTCCGTTCGACCGCGGTCTTGGCCTTGAACTCCTTGCAGGTCATCAGTGTATGTTTTTCACGACACAGTGCACAATGAGGCGAATCTGTGCCTTGATGTCTGGTGACGTGCGCTTTGGCGAATCGCGATGCCTCTCCAGGTCCTTTTGTGACACTCCTCGGTCGTGCAGCGTTGAGGGTCAATACCCGTCGACTAATAAAGTCGAGAAGTGCCTCATTCTGTGGTGGTTCGGTGGAGTCTGACGTGGCTGACTCCCATTCGAGACGAGTGCGGGCGTCGAACAATTCGATGACCAGGTGATTGAACAGGTCCATCCCGTGCGAGTTGATAGGACGTCCAATACTCTCCTGTGCATTGATGGCGGCGGTGACAGCGTTGTGGATGCGGCTCAGCTCCTCGGCGGTATCTCCCTTCATCTTTGGCACGGCGGTAAACGTGGCAAAGTTGGAGCGGATTAATTCTCTTTTGTTGTCGTAATGCTTGTTCAAGATTGCCCAAGCGCGATCGTAATTGTCACTTGTGACAGGTAGTGATCTTATCAATTTTTCAGCCTGACCTGTCAAACACGAGCGGAGGTGGTGAAGACGCTCGATGTTTGAGATGGAATTGCTGCTCACAACGGACAGGAAGAGATCACGAAATGACGGCCAATCAGCGTAGGCGCCAGAAAACGGCGGCAACTTGATGCGCGGCAGCGACGACCTTGATGCGACGTCGACGGATGGAGATACGTTTGGCTTCCGGAAATGTTCAGCGTAGCCATCCAGGATACTGCGTTGTGCCACGTAAAGATTTTCAGTATCTCCATGCAACTCCGACTTGAAGTATTCGCTGTCACTAAACTTCTCTTTCAGAGCCGCGCGAATGAGATCATGCTGGGCCTCAAATTTCGTCCACAGCTGATCTAGGATCCTGATGCGTGTGGATACGGCACTGGCGGTGATGTTGGTCGTGCCCAGCTTCTTCAAGTATTCCACGGAGCGTGAAATACGGACTTGGACCTCACGTTGGCAATCGATCAAGGTGTTCACATCCATGTCGAACTACGAGCTCACTGACCGCACCAAGAGACACGTTCACAAACTTGCGGATGCCGGCACGATGTATCCGGCTCGAAGGACCAAAAATATGTTCACGAACGCGCTGCTTGAGCAAAGGATCGCGCTGCACGAAAGGATGAGTCACTTTTTTGTATTAAATTGACTTTAATATTTTAAAACAATTAGAAAACGAACACTTTAACAAACTTTTACAATCTTAATTAATTTACAGAGAAAATCGAACTCAAATCAATGTGCGGAATAGCGGCGGTCGTCAACGAATTTTGCGGTGTATCTGATAAGCGGTTTGCGATATGTTTTCACGGCGGAAAAGCGATAAAGCTGTGATTTCGGGTGCGAGCTCTCTTTTATGGGTTTCCGCAAAAGACCCACCTTTTCGGGAAGCGCCAATAATTTTGCGTCTTTTTAAAGTTGCGCGAGGTGACCTGAGTGTATTACGCGTAATTGGCCGCTGTCAAAATTGACAAAACCACGGCTGTTAGAAAGCATGCGCGAGCTGGCGATCACGATGATTATTGGCGAAACGAGGCGCCCGTGAGAAGCCGCGCATGCTCAATAAAATATAATTATTCGGCAGAACGGTTGCGACACCGTTAATTGTTTATATTTCGAGCGTGTTTTTGTACGACAGGATAATTTATGTCGCGATATGTTTTAAAAAAAAAACATATAAAAACGATATGCCTGTTGACTTGCGATCGGAAGCGAATATTCTAGAATATTCTATTTAAGATATAATATTTTATTACATGTAGTTTCTATTATGCGTTTCAAACACTAACCATATAGTTGACCATCGAATGCTACACTCTCGCAATCACATAAAATTGATATACGGTAAATTTTATCAAATTAAAAGACATAAATAATATTATTGAATGAATATTAATTATTTTTTCTTATTTTATATCTAGGTGAAGTGAAACATCAAAAGTTTAGGATAAAAATTATATTAAAAGATAATTCAAGACAGTGTCATCACCACGCGCGTGTCATATAAATCTAATTATAGTGGATGAGTTTCATAAATCTCTATTGAA